CCCAATGCCAGTGGGTTGGTCAAAGTAAATGTGTATGATCGAAGGTCAGATGGTAATGACAGTCTGCAGGAGTGGTTCTTTTCCCTGTGGATTGTCAATGCGAGTTAGTCTATTATGGGAATGGTTATTGTTCAATTAACGACAAACAAGTGCCATGGATGGTGAAGTATCGACTTGAAAATTTGAATATTAAAAGGGGGATTACGTTTTGTAAAATGAAAGGGTATCTCAAGTATTTTACAAGTGACATGCCAGAAGATTCACAAATGAAGGCCCCCTCTACTAATCCTTCTACTCAAACACCTTAGCTTTGATATTTTTTCCCTCTGCTTCTCGTACACACGAACAAACTTCGCCAGAGCTGACCGCCGCCTCTCTTCCCACAGTCCTATTTACCACGTCAAAAAACAATCTACACACATTTGAGTGAACTGCCCGTAATTCTCGGGATACTCTTCTAAGGAGTGTAACATTGTATACCAAAACAATTAACAACAAAAAAAAAAAACTGAAAATGAAGTACGAAACAAGGCACCAGAACAGTAGCCCATCCGCTCAATCTTCCTTTACCTCAAAGGACCCTTAAGAACAGGAACAATCGCCTGGGCCAGAAGTCTCGGATGACATAATTACTTCTCTGGCAGAATAAGCTTCAAAGAGGGACGTTAAGGAAAGGGAATGATGGATTGAGGGTGGAGAGTTGAAGGGAGGAGGGGTCACAAGTAGGTGGCTTGAGAAGGGAGATGACATTGGAGTAGAGAATAATAAGAGAAGATAGTGGGAAGTGGAGCTCGTAGTTGTAGAGGATGGTACTATATCCAAATATTAGAGAATGAATTGAAGGAAAAATTGGTTGTTGGTGGCGATTGTTGAATTTGTAGGGAAGAAAAAGAAAAGAAAAGAAATGATGAGAATGAAAGGAAGAGAAAATGAGCAAAATTGTCCTAAAAATTGAAGATTCAATATATTTGTAATTATTTTTCATGTTCCTATTAACGTTGTGATTATAAAAAAATATCAAATGATTTATAAATTTTTTACCATAAATTCCATTTCAAATTATTATTTTTTGGGAGGTTTTGGTGAGTTTTTCTCTGTTTCTGATTCATCTCTCTTAAACTCTCATTCTAGGATCTCTCTTGCACCCTTCCAACGATTGTCTTTCCAATGTATATAACATATGCTAAAATGCCGTTCCAACTGTTTTCCACATATATCTTTGGGTCCAACTATTATTAGATGTGTTGAATTGTTACGTGTTGATTATATCGAGCAATTTGATTATAATTGCCAACATATTCTTTTTGTGACACTTGAGAAAAATATCGAGTTATGGTTGTAAATTTTGGAATGTTGGATTTTTTGAAAAGTGAAATTGGACTTTCGAGCATTATGTTCAATTGGAACACCAAAATGAGAAAATTGGATTTTAAAAGAAGTTCAAAAACCTTGAAATGGTTTTAAAACAAGTAAACCTTGAAATATTTTTGGAAATTGGTAAACTTTGAAATGATTTTGAATTAAGTATTGGAGATAGGTTCGAGATTGGTGTATAGTGAGCAAGTTTGGTTGGATTCATTTATTGAAAAAAGTTCAAAAAATCATGAAATTTAAGTAGCATATATCTGGTAGCCCAAGAAGTGGAACTTTTTCGTTTGTATGAGAGCCATTAGTTTAACTCACAACCCAAGAGTCGTTAAAATTAATAATGATTCATGTGTTATAAATAGAGCTTTGGGTTCATTTTTATGTAGAGTGAACAATGAAATAAAAGTTGATAAATATGTGAGTTGTAGCCTTGAATTGGCTTGAGATGGAAAATTGCATTAAAAAAATGTTTTCATTATATGTATTTGTATCCCATCATGATCACATGCCACGCATTTAGTTGTGTATCCCTAAATACTATATGCTCACCTTATTGAATCTTGTATGCATGCATGGATCCAAATTCGTGATGAAGTTTGAGGATATTTTGTTGTGGTTATGTGTTGAGGACATTGAAGCCCATGTTTTTGTTGTAAGGCCATGAGGCAATGTACTTATTTTGAAGGCCAAATAATGGCATAACTAGTTGATTCTATGTAATGAAATTCATATGTAAATTCATTTTGATACAATGATTGGAATTGGAACTATGATTACGAGTCAAATAAGAAACAATGAAAATGATAGGATTGCTTGCTAAATTTTTTTGAGCATGGTTGAGTTGGTTATGGGTCGGTGTGATTCCTTTGAGGCATTTTGGACAAGGAGAAGACTGATCAACTACTTGGGGTTGATTACTATTTGAGACCGCTCGAGCAACTCTTGAGTAGTCATCAAGTGCTCAATCTCTCAATTTTTTCTTGTTTAAGCAGAAATCCTTTGAGTTTACTTTCAAAGCTTAAGTAGTCTTTTATTCGCCGAAGTGTTTATTTCTATTTTATATATATGTTTGTTTGCTTATGTTTGGATTGAGTGATTTGGAAAGAAAAAAAAAAAAAATGAAGAGATATATATTTTTCTTACTTTTTTAAACAATAGTGAAGAGAAACTGAGAGAAACTCATTTCTCTTATAACCCTCATTTTCAATCTTTTCAGAAATAGAGAGATTGGAAGAGAAAAGAAACCATATTTTCATAATACCAATTTTGTCCCTGTAAAAATAAAAGAAATAAAATGATTGAAAATATAAAAGAGTAATGTTTGAGGGCCCGAAATTCGTGGGTCGAATTTGGCTCAAAACCCAAAACGACGTCGTTTTGGGTTTTGATTTCAGAAATAGAGAGATTGGAAGAGAAAAGAAACCATATTTTCATAATACCAATTTTGTCCCTGTAAAAATAAAAGAAATAAAATGATTGAAAATATAAAAAGGTTATTTTGGTAATATAACAAAAAATAATTTCTTTTTCTTTCTCTTATGAAATCTAACCAAACAAAAAGAAGAAAAATCATAATCATTTCTTTTCTTTTATTTCTTACTTATCCAAATAAGAAAGAGAGAAATCACAATCATTTCTCTTTTTTTTCCTCTTATAACTTAAGTAATTTTTTTTTTTTTTTTTTCAGTCCTAAATTCCTAAACATAGTGAGTTCTTCTTCACGACTCAAGCAGTTGGCTTCCTTTGAGGTACCACGTTGACTTTTCATCCATTTGACCTAGATCAATCTCTTTAAAGTCTACCTAATGCTTTCTTAACTCATTTAGCTTTTAACCCATCCCATTTCTTTTAACCCCATTCATGATCTGGAGTTACAGGATTTGGGCATGTAACGCAACCAATATTTGAAAACATTAATTAGAAATCAATAATCTGAAAATCCTAATTTTAAAGCCCTAATTTGAAGCTATAATTAGAAACTGCTATTTAAAAAATCCTAATTTTGTTTGTTGTTAGATTATTCGTTATTAGTCAATATCCCAATTTGATTTTTTTTTGTTAGATTGATTAGGTTGTTTATAACTAGTTAATTTTACTTGATGAATTTGATTTTACTTGATTATCGATTTTGACTGTTTCATTTTGATTTGTTAGATTGTTACTTCCCTTACTTGGGTAAATAAGTCAGTCTTATCTGATGAAATGAAACACCAAGGGGTAATTCTATTTTCACACACTAAATTCTTTCACGGCACACACTTAATGAATACTTTCTCAGAACACACATCAAAAATAAAAATTAGTGTGTTTGGTTTGAGTTTTCTGGATTAAGTTTTTTGAAAACTGAATTTTTTGGTTTTCGTGTTTTTTTTTGTTTTTAGTGAATATTTTTAAAATTTTAAACATTTTTTTTTATTTTTTTAGATGCACCTTCCTTAAATGTATCTAAAAAGTAAAAAATTTATGAAAAAATATTTTAAAATATTAATAAATACATGGAAATACAAAAAATATACTGAATTCTTGTATTTTTTTTTTGTATTTTTGATATTTAGTGAATTTTTAAAAGATTTTTTTTATAATTTTTTTACTTTATAGATGTATTTATGTTAGGTATGTCTAAAAAGTAAAAAAATTGCTTAAAATATTAAAAAAATTCAATAAAAACAAAAAAATATTGAAAATAAGAAAATAGAATTTTCTGAAAAGTGTTTTTGAAAAATTGGAACCAAGCAAGCTGATTCCTCAGTACATATCTCTTCATTCCAACAATGACCTTATCTTTTATTTCAAAATCCTAATTTATTTTTCATCCACCTATTCTTCTTCTTTCGAAAAATTTGGAATGTCTTCATCCATCACCACTCTTAGCCCATCCCGGCTTTTGCCTAAACCACCCTAATATACCCTTGCTACCCACCATTTCCTCAAAACCCTAACGTCTACAACCTTCTCCGCCATGATCTCAACCCCTACAAATCTTTTTGTTGCTGTGAACCCAACATTTCCAAGCCCTAGATCCGTTTGAAGGTTGATATCCAACCAAACCCTATCTGTTCGGATGTGTATTGGGAAAATAAAAAAAGATAAAGATTTGTCATAAATGATAATTTAATTAAGGGATAAAAATGTGATTTTGAAGAAATTCATCAAGTATGTGCTCTGCGGGGATTAGTGTGTGGAAATAGAATGACTCAATACCAAGTCCTGTATATTTTTTTAATACACCAATAAATCTTAAAATATTTATTTTGCCCTAATATTTTTGAAAATATTAATAGATAAATAAACACAATTTATAGACAAATAAATTTGATCAATAAGATTGGGCGTAAGTCCCTTCCTTATCCCCAAGTTTCAAAATTTTTTAGATTTAAATCATTTGAAGACTTGGGTCCAAAGAAATGTGTTTGTCACTGGAAAATAGGTCCAAATCTAAAGGCCCAACTCGAATTTATCGAATTGAATCGAACCGCCCGAATTCATTGGTTCAGTGCTCTCGGTCCACAGAAGTATAGAAAACTGAACCGATCGGTTCGTTAAAAAAACCGGTTCCACCTACCCCGACCGTACCGACCCATTCATCCCCTTGCCTCCACCGTTTCTAGGTCTCGAGCAGCTGCTCTCTCTCTCTTCTCTCTCATTTATGTGGTTTTTGATAGTTTTGTGAGAGAGAGAGAGAGGATTGTGGATCGTCAGACGAAGAAAAACGCAGAAGCAAAGATGGCGGCCCCTGAAGCTCCTCTTTGCTACGTCGGAGTCGCCAGAAAGTCCGCCGCTTTTCGCCTCATGAAGCAAATGGTTAGTATCAAAGATTCAATCTTCAGCTTTATGCATGTATGTATATTGCTAGGGTTTTTTTTCTTATTTTTTTTGAGTTGATTCAGCTTAATTCTCAATCTGTGTATAATATATATAGATACATACATGTAATTGATGTAGGGGTGGGAAGAAGGCGAAGGGCTTGGGAAAGACAATCAAGGGATCAAAGGGCACGTCAGGGTCAAGAACAAACAGGACACTGCAGGTTCTCATTTTTTTTCTTTTTATTTATATTTATCAAATTTATGCTCTGTTTGGTTGCCTGGAACAGATGAGAAAGTCTGAAGAAGAAAAAAAATCTGAATAAAAACTGGTAATAAGGTTGAATTTCTTGGAAGAAATCAGAACAGCCTAAAACACAGATTCAAAATTTGGTGTTTGTTTTGTTTTGTTCTACTATTTTTTGTAGAAACCAAATTGTGTGTGTGCGTGTGCGTGTGTGTGGTTTTTTTTTAAATCAATTTTTTGATGGTATATGTTAATTTATGGTGGTGCACAATTTTTCAAAATTACAATAGGCATTGGTGTGGATGAGGCCAAAAAGAATTGGGCATTCGATACAACGCAGTTTGACAACATCCTTAAGAGATTGAAAGTGGTAATTGTCACATTTCTCCGTCTTATAAGAACACGTAGGCTTTGAAGACATCATTTCTAGGCTTCTCAATCTCTCACTCATTCTCTATATGTTTTTGCAGCAATCAACAGAAATCAATGATGAAGGTACAACTTGATGAAAGTAAATTGATATTACACTCAATAGCATAATATAGTTTGATGAGGATCATATTTACATGCATCTCACAGCTGTTCAAAAGGATGACGGTCAAGAGGATGACACTGACATAGGCACACAATCTAATGTATCTAAAGACAGTAAGGAGGATACAGTGGTGAAGGCTACTCGGCCCCAAGGAAGGTCAAATATAGTTTCCCCTTTTTTTGTTCTTCTATATATCATAAGTTCATTATCAAATTTTTATCAATTCTAGATCTGTTTTGAGAGTTCTTTGTTTCCTCCCTAAATAATCACCAGGTACAAGAAAAGGGAGAGAGGGAAATTTGTTCGGACATATTCTTCTAAGGATCTTGAAGGAATACTTGTGAGTTGCCATCCTCAACAATTTTTTCCGTACAAATTTAGGCCTTCATGTTTCTTGTATAGAGTTGTTTGAAGTTGGTTCTTTGAAGTAGTAGTTATTTTGTGGTGGCTCACATTTTCAGTGGTGATTTTATAATTTGGGTCACTATCTTGTCTGAAAGTGCCAAGTTGTTTTTGAAGATGGACCTTGGAGTTTTTCTTTCTGTTTTTATTTTCTAAATTTGTTTTTGAACAGTTTTCAAATTGTTGATCTCTTTTCTTTTCGTTTTTGGACGTAATTTTTAATGGATTTGGTGCCCAATGCTGTAATCTTATCTAGAAAATCATAGTTAGATTGATTGCTTGAGATGTTATGAGACAGTTCATGGAATGAAGTAATTTTTGAAGATTGTGTATTACTTCTATTATTATACTGATGCTTTAATAGTCTTAGTTTGTAATCCCATTTTTTTTGGAAATGAAATTTTTCTGGAGTTGTGGATATGAAGTTACCGTGGTAAATTTTTTGATGATGAAGACAAAATGAGGCTTATTTGTGAATGGAATATGTTGTGTTCTGTTTAGTTGAATTATGTCACTGAGGGAAGGTTCCATCTAGTTTCTTCAATACTTAGAGCTTGCAGAAATGCAATTTGACCTAATGATCATAAGGTTTTGAGGTCTAGTAATTTGAAGAAGACATGAATTAAGGAGGGGCTCTTTATTGAAATATAAAACTCTGTAACTGAACTTACTATTGCACCCTTCTATATTTTATCATAATGCTAAGTGTTGCGGATAATGGAAAGTAGAAATTCGAAGGTTTTATTTGGAGGATGTTGTTGTTGGGTGCTTGTTGACTATTGTTGGGTTATACCTCATGTGTGCATGTGTCTAAAATTAGGAGTTAAGCTTGGGGAAAATGTGACATAATAGATAAGTGCCATTGTGTGGAATCATTAATGTTGTAAGGTTTGCTAGAATTCACTTCACAATAGGGGAAATTAGAGGTGAAAGAGATTCATCATGAGGTTCCATGTTCGTTAAAAAAGACTATTTGCTAGATAGGTGCCGTGTGTGGAAGCCTTAATAATCAGAATTTTCTACGAAGTATGTGAGAATTTGAAGTGTAAGATATTCATAGAAGAGGGTCCAAGTCATTTAAAATGGATTTTCTGATAAGATTACTACTTAAAGAGTAAGAAGACAATTAAATTCTGTTGAAATTTATTTATTTTGAGTTCCACCATTAGACATTAAATTAGTAACGGTTTAATGATTTCTTGACAAGTATTGACAGTGGGTTGAATTTTTCCATTGAACTACACAAACAATTATGAAATTATTGGATAGGTGGACTCCTGGATAAAGTTATCAAATGTCCTTCACTTCAACCAAAATGGTTTGAGGTGTTTTGTTACTGGAACAACTATCGAACTAATCATACTTTGTATAGGACCAAATTTGGCAATAATATCCATAGTGAATGTAGTGGTTTTGTATTTCCTATTTTTGAAATTTGAATTCTTGGTTGATGTGGTTGCTGTTTGAATTCTCACATATGAATTTTTAGTCCTTTAAGACCTTTACCCTTACTACAGCATTTCAAATTAGCATATTTGTTAATTCATTGAGCAAGAGAAAATGATTATGTTTGAATTCATCAAATGTTCTCTAATCTCCATACATAAGTTCATTTTGATTAACACACAATGAAATAGAAGAATTGTTCAGTGTTTTGGCCCTGTTTGCTTTCAGAGGTAGAATGGAGGGGATTGATAGTGAGGGGATTAAGTAAAATTGTGTTTGTTTTGATGATAGGTTTTAGTGTAGGAATTATTAAATTATTTTTATATAAAATAATAAACAAATAAAAAAATATAAAAAATTAAACATTAATGTTTTAAAAAAAATTCCCAATTTGTAAAAAATAAAAAAAAATAAAAAAATTCTAATCCCCTCACTATTTTTCTAATACCACCTCCACCTCTTCCATCCTAATCTCTCTTCCAACCTCCATCTTAACCCCATCTTCCATCCTAATCCTTTTCCCAACTCTACAAACAAACACAACGCTAAATAACCCCACCTCCATCATAATCCCCTCTCATCCATTACACCCCAAAACAAACGGGATATTTGTACCTTTCTAGTGAGTAAATGGAAGTTCCTATGGCGTTCATTTGCATGAGGTCAACATTTCTACATCCAAGTTCATTTTTTTTTTTTTATAATTTTTAAATTTTTTTATTTATTATTATTATTATTATTATTTGTAGTCTCAAAGGATATAACAATGTTGGTTTTGTAAAGATATCCTATTATTTGATTATTTATTTATTTTTATATTAAAGAGCAGAACCTTATCTTTTTTGGTTATTGGAATTTGGACGAAGTTGATCCATCTTTGAACCAATGTCTGGACTTTGCAGAGGCTTTTGATGTATAGTTGATTTAGATATTTTGCTTTTTTTCGTAGTGTATATGTGTGGCATCCCCTTGGTGGATGGCGCAGCCCTTGACTAGTTAGATGCCGTTATCAGATCTGGAAGCCTAGGGTGAAACCCATGGGTTCAAAGACTTTTTGGTCTCACAAATGTCATTGGTAGATTATTATTATTATTATTATTATTATTATTATTATTTGGTTAGATTTAATTACATAAATATGTGACGTGGTTTCCGAATAATATTATGCTAGTTTCCTAATTTAATTAGGGTTATTAGCCTATAAATAGAAGGCTTCTCCTTGTAATATTCAGCTTTTGGTTTAATAATATTGAAAGTGATTTTAGGGTTATGGCTGTTTGTGAGATCTTCTCCCTCTTTCTCTACTGTTTGCTACATCACTTGGTGCCTCTTTTTGTGAAATATTTACTAATTGAAAAAATCTGATAATGTCATGTTAGTATGGGTAAATTAGGTAAATGGATGGGTCTAGGTTAAGATGAATGTAGGAATATAATCTTAATGTTTGTTTTGCAAAGATCTTGGGAAGATTGTTTTGGAGACTTAAAAAATTGGTGCAATTAATGCCATGAACCTTTATTGTATTGTTACAAAATGATTGTTCATTTAAAAGTGAAAAAAAAAAAGAAAAAAGTTTTCATTTAGTTTTTTTAAAGCAAACTCAGCAGTATCTGTATTTGTAATTCTTAATTATTGAATTGTAGTTTCGTTTACAAGTTTATAATTGGCTTATACGACCTCTTGCAATGCAACCATAAATCCCATTATATGCTTATTTATGGGTGCTATAATTGACACATTCTTGTAGAATTATTATTCAGGCAAGTTCGGGTGATAGATTGAAGGGTTTTTTTTTTTTTTCCCCCCCTCTACTTTGATTGTTCACTGCTTAGTTTCTCTTGGCATTACATACTGTAGGTCAAAAAAGTCGAGGAATGCCCACAGACAAACTATAATGAGGACAGTGTATTGGAGTTGGTGGAAGAATCTGCAAATCACGTTTTTGATGTTGAAGGTAACTTCTGGAATACAACTAGATGGAAGGCACTATTCTTAAAATGAAATCACGGGTGGGATTTTTTTACTCTGTTTCATGTTGGAAGGAAGAACTTGCAAATCATGTTTTTGATGTTGAAGGTAACTTCTGGACATAGTTGTCAAATAGAGAATCGTATCACGAATTGAGAATCATTAAGATTTAATACAAACTATAAAAAATGATGTTGAAGAATCGGTATATATGAAAAAAAGAAGAGAGGGAATAAATTGATTTCAGAACATGTTATAAAATAGTTTTTATATATGGACATAATTACACCGTCTAATTGGGAAGACATTGTTTTCATAGCAAGAGATGTGAGTCCAAATTTCACCAACCATAAAATTATTAAAAAACAATAGTATAATCTCCTTGAACATTTAAAAAATATACCTAGGAACCCTATATAGAGTGAAATCTTTTATTTTAAAACCTAAAATATTTTAAAAGATGTGTATGCAATTGTTCAAAACAAGTTAAACAAAAGAAAGTTATGAAACTATTGGGTCTGACTAATATGACCGATGTAATATTAAACCATATTTATTTAACTAATATGACAATAGATAATTCATAGGTACAAGATCTATGAACTTGTCTATTTTGGAGTAAAATAAAAGAATAGCTTTAGTATGGGATTTCAAAGGATTAGGAAAAGCCAGGATATTATAACCTTAAACATACATTTTGGGTTTGACTGGATCCAATTGGATCCTATTAAAGACCCTCTAATCACCAAAATACTAACAAATCATGCATAGGTGGTGATTATTTTTTATACCAAACACTCTTAGGAGTTGTATTATGTCATTTTCAGTAGAAGAGGGGTGAAATATGTTGGGCATCATATTTTCAAGAATTTCATAAATCATTAAAACGTAAATCGAGTCATGAATCGTTCACCTAAAATAGATTCACCCATAGATTCCTATATATGCATGGATCACAAATCAATTCGTGAATGATGAGATTCTAACAACAGAACTTCAGAATGCAACTAGATGGAAGGCAGTACTTTTCTTCTCAAAATGAAATCATGGGTGAGATTTTTTACTATGTTTTCTGTTGGATGACATCTATATATACGTTCTTGCTAAAGCTTGCTCAAGTCTTCAACTTTATGCTACTGCTGATATCAATGCCGGTTTGCAATGTTATATGTATCTTTTTGTCCCTTCCTCTATTTTCTTTTTTTTTTTTTTTAGTGTTCTTTCTATGCTTTGCACTTGGGCATTTTTCTTTTGTTTGGCATTTGAAAGCTAGAAATCCATTAAAAACAACACTTATTGTAATATGTGTGGCATTTGAAAGCTAGAAATCCATTAAAAACAACACTTATTGTAATATGTGACGTATTTGCACTTATTATCATTTGATGCAGCAAAGGATAGTACTCGAATCATGTTTTATCCTGCATACTTTTTTGGTATCCAGATTTTATGGGAAAGAGCGAAAGATAATTTTAACTTTCTTACTTCTTTTTATTTTTTTTGTAAAGATAAGCAAAAATATTTTAATCAAAAAGGTTCCACACTGCCCAATCTCATATACGAAACATAGAAATGAATATAAAAGAGAATAGAATGACCTTTATATCACTCATGACTCTGCAGTTCACAAAATCCAAAAAAATAAAAATAAAAAAGAATCAAAAGATGTATTTCATGCCATCTATACCCAACTAGGCAAGAGATATAAAAATTTTCTGCGCTATATGCACTTAAAGTCGACTCTGTCAAACACATCATCAGATTTCTTTCTCCCCACAAGCATGTCAGTTGTAAGGAGGCTCATTCTCGTGGTCAGCCACGCAAAGGCAGGCACCTTTGAAGATGCTTTCATCTTTCAAACTCTTCCATGAGAACGCCATTTCATTCTCCCCTATAAGTTGCTTGCAATATGATTTAACCTCAAATATCCTGGATTTAGAGGCAGCCCCATCCTTTCACACCTGCGCATAATTTGATCTTCCCCTCCCCTTCTTCCCCATTCTCCACTCTGTAGAAGACCTAAAATGTTCAATCAATGTCCCAGTCACAAATAGGACTCCTAAAATCATGTTCCATGTCAATGAGTTCTCCGTTCCTTACAAAGAATGTACAACCATTTCAAGCTTGTTATCAAGTGACCTTAGGGCACTTCTTAACAGGACCCTTCAATTTATTTATTTTATTGTTCATAAAGGTGTTATTCTCAGGCCCAGTATGAAATGAGCAAACTGCATTCGTTCTTGTGATGTTTTATGTTAAAAATACAAAGTTGATACCTTTCTTGAACAGCTTTATGTCAACTATGATTTGGTTTTAGTGTTTCTGAAGGTAGAAGAAACCTTTGGTGTTCTGTTTTTATAGTGCTCCTTGCTATGCATATCTATTCTCTTTATCATACCCGACCACAGTACCTATTCATCACAACTTGATTTTCACAGCGATTGCACGTGATGTTGCCATCTGTAAGATAAATTGATAGAGAGATGATAAATTGTATGTTATTATTGATTGTTTTTTATTAATGTTGTATATATTACAATGATTCATGATTCCTATATATAGAAGAGGGTGAGTGTGTAGTAGGTAAGGAGTAGGTGAAGTGGAGGTGGTAGTGGTGTAGTGGGTTAGGTTTAGTGGAGTAGGTGAGGTGGTAGTGGTGTAGTGGGTTAGGTTTAGTGGAGTAGGTTTAAGTGGGTGAAGTAGGTGATAGGTTTTAACAGCCCCCCGCAAACTCAAGGAGGATAGGAACTAACCAACGTGAGTTTGGAGAGAGTTACAAAACAAGAAAATACATAAAAATAAAAGAGGATAAGAGACATTGTATGGTCGTGTCAGACCATCTCTAGTTGCTACGTGGAGATCATGTATGTATATATTGTTTTTTCAATGAACACCTACCTGATCAATGTGGCAGGAAATGAAAGCAAAGATGTTTCACCAAACTGGTGGGGCTATAAATCTGGGTTTGTGTCAGGAGGTTATCTTGGAGCCGAATCCAGGAGAAAGAAATCCCTCCCTACTGAAAATGGTCAAAATTCTTGGAACAGGGTTGCTTTTCACGAAGAAGATCAAGAAAATATTTACAAACTCGTCCAAGTATGTATCCTTATTGTTTATTTACTGTTTGTGAACTATTCTGGTGCTTTTTTAAATTCTTCTTCTCCCTATTTTGTTGTTCGTCAAATGATCACCCACATTATTATTTATCATCCATAAGAAAATTTTTGGAAGTCTGTAATGAAATAAATTAAAATACACATAATAAGGTTTGCCCTATTTCAAGACAACATATTGATGCAAGTCTTTATCTACAGGATAAAGCGACATCTGGAAAACAAGGACTTGGCATAAAGGACCGGCCAAGGAAAATAGCTGGTTGCCACTATCAGGGGAAAAAGACATCATTTGATGACAGTGCTGATGAGGGTTCTGCTGATTCTTCAAAGAAACAAAAATATGGTGACATTTCAGAGATGGAAAACAAAGATGAATCAAAGGTTAAGCTAAAAAAGCTGTGTAGGAAGCTTCTTCGTCAGGTGCGTCTTCTTGAGTTGCGCATTTATTTGCAATAATATTCTTGCCACTGATATTGACATTTTGTTACAGGTACCTGGTGAGTCATTAAAGCTTAAACAGCTCAAAGTTCTCATTGATGAACACTTCTCTGTTTTTTCCAATTTCTCCTCCAAAAGAGATGCGCTCGCATTCTTGAAAAGAAAGGTATGATCATGGTTACTGTGGTGCAATATGCCAAATGGTTTTGGTCACTGTTTTGTGGTTTTTATTTCATGAATATTCAGCTTTGTTGATTTCTTTTTCCTATTCTAGTCAGTCATGACTTGTTTTGTTTGTTTTTGCAGCTAGAAGGCAGTGACAAGTTTTCTGTGGAGGCTTTGATTGAAAAGAGAGTTTGTCTTTCATCAAAGAGAGGCAATTAGGTTTTTTGCTAGGATTTTTAGATGCCTGTAACAGTATGTACATTGCAGCTGAGACTAGTTAAATTCGGCTTTTATTTATTTTTAATTGGGTTTCTTGAAGAGGTTAGAAGCATTCATTTCACTTCTGATTCATTTGGTTCAGCCAAGTTTTGAATCTGGTGCAGTTAAGCGAGACAAAATAAATTAATGGGTATGGAATATAGTGTTGTTTGGATGTGGGGATTGTATTGCTGGTGGCTGTACTTGTGACAGGTCTTTTTCATTACAGTAATATATGAGATGGGATGAATGGGTCATTAGGTCTCTTAAGACATGTTTAAGAAGTGCTTTTTCAATGTTGTGTTTGGATTATATTATGTTTTGATTTATGGATTTGAAATGAAAGGATTTGACTTTTTATTTATTCTAGGCGAATAGGTCAAATTTATAGTTGATAGTTTGGATGTAGATTTCAATATAGAATTTGAGAGTTGTTATAATGGTTTTAAAATAACAATGTAAAAATACCCACCTGCATTCTTCCTGTGGATACTATTAGCACACAAGCCAAAGAACTCAAAGCCACAACACAAGCACCCTGTTCTAACAGTGGCAGATCAAACAAGATTTGATGAGTGAAATCAGCTGATGGAATAAAAGTGCAGTCTTTTCAATTCTATAACACTCTTATCACCTTAATTCATTCTTTTGTTGAGGGTCTGGCATTTAGATTTTAAGCGGGTGAAAATGTTAAATTACATTCTCTTCTGGAATGAAAGCTCTCCTATATTGTAACGGAGCTTGGAGATTTTTGCATGGCTGGTTAGCAAGCATCACATCTGTATTTGAAAATTTTTAATACTGAAGGACAATGTTGACGTCATTTTCGGTTCAGTTAAAGAATTATCTATAGGAAAATGATAAAATTAAATATTAGGGTCCATTTATTATTTTTATTTTTACTTTCTGATGATTTAAAAATGTAAGGTTACTACAGGAGTGTAAGGAACTGCTTAATATGAGATATTAGTAGTTGGCATATATTTTTCTTCCCACAACCAGGCTCACATAATATCGGTCACAAGGTAATTTATTCTTTTATTTTATTTTATTTTTTTTCCCTATATGTAATTCGCTAGTACAATTTTCTTTGCCAAATACTTCCCTAAGAAGTCGTATCCATGGAAGTAGAGTGCTTCAATCTCTGCTCTCTTACCACTCTGCACCATCACAGCCAACTCTTCCTTGTAATTGTCCTATCAAACACACAATGCAATTAGATTTAATTATTAGTTTACAGGTAAAATGAAAGTAAGGCATTAAATCTTCTATCTTGCGCTCCCCTTTAGTGAGAATCTCGTGCATTGAGTTGCACTTTTTCATTTGGATTCAAGGTATTCAGAGACACAACAGATTTCTTCTGTGCTTGGCCAATTTACCTGTAAAATTTCTGAGGATGCCAAGCTTTTGGCTATTTGAACATCCTTTGGTTTCAATGGCATGAAAGATTGTTCAGGTATGAGTTCTAGATCATCTCTTCGCAGTCCCAGCCACTTGACATTGCAAGCTAGATTTGGCAACAAAGAACATGAAAAGGTATTGAATAGATTTCATTCTCACTTGAAGAAGAATAGGAAATAAGAGTAGAATTCTTTATCATGGTAGAAGAAAGCACCATATCTGTATGCCTCAAGCCCCATCCCTATGCTTCCAAACTTGAAGGTGCATAGTATAGCTAACCCTGCTGGGTTCCTTGAAAAATTCCATAGTGTAAAAAAGAAAAGAAAAAAAAAAGGAATGAGTGATACAGTACATCTATTCTGGGGACAATGTGAAGGCCATCCATACCAGTCAACCAGGCCGAATATTGGCAAATCAGGAAAAGTTTTGCTTATTCGATGAAGGAGAAACCTGTTAGTAATTCAGAACTTGGGTTATGGTTATGGTCATAATTATCTCATGCAAATGAAGGACTATGAAGGCCCAAAAAGTTGAAGGGAAAGATGCAAGATGCTTTGATTGAGCATCAGAGCAAAAGTTTTGAGGTGTGAACAACTTAAAAGTTACCTTGTGGCGATATCTGGATATCCTTTGGCAGTGATGAGAATGCTTGGAATTTGATTATAAACACAGTCCTCAGCTAGCCGCTGGAATATGGCATGCTGAACAAATCCAATGTTTTCCAACACATTTTACATCAATACTGGCAAAACTTTCATAAGTTTTTCACGCGGAATTCAAAGAAGCAGATTACCTTCTCTACCACAATAATGTAGCGTGCATCAGTCTTCATGACCAATTTCTCTAACAAATTCAGGTCGCCAGAAATAGTATAACCAGAAGATCCACAAGCAGAACAATCCACAACCTCTTGGTTTGGTTCCTGTTTCATAATATGGAAATAGAGTAGTTAGTGTATGGGAGATCAGTTGAGTGCAATTGATGTCTAATCTCAGGAACATGAAAGCATCTACGAATGTCTGAGCATACACAACAGGATTCTGGTTCAGAGAAGTGAAACTCTAAAACTCTCATGAATCATTTGGCTTGACTAAAAGTAGAAAGCAGAAGCTAGTGAGACAGAACATCATCAAATTGAAAACCACTTCTGATTTTGTGGAGCTAGCATGATTACAGAAAACTAGCCAATCTAGTCATTATCATTGAGGCTAATTGCTTGTCTATTTTGATTCAGAATGAGAAATGCAGATTGATTTGATTAAGAGTACAAAGTCCTAAGATTAATAGCGTAGGTGTATCATCTACTGATCCACTCAATTTCTCATACTTGACCGTATCATCTCCATTTGCATTCGGGTAGAGCTAAGAATAAAGATGATATACCTGCAGCAACAGGCGGCCAGCAATGGCTCCTCTACTAGATGCCATGATTCCAAGACTGTAACGGCTGCAACGAAGCAATGCCACCACATCTGTTTAGGATATCATGGAGTTATAGATTAGGTGCTTCAAAGTTAGACATCTCACTATCTTGGTATGATGTAAATGTCTAAGACAAGAAGGGAGTATGCTGTATGTAACCTTGGATTGTCCTGTTGACCTGTAATTGGGAAGTGAAATAGTCTGGTGAATCACAAAGCAATTTGTAGAATAGCTCTCTCTGAGTCAGTCTCTTTTCCTGAACCAGAACCTGGTAACACATCTCCATCACCTTCCAAACTGTGTTGTGGGAGAGACAAATAGAAGAAGAGTGAGGGGCCAGAAAAGATGCTACATACATACATGCATATAGGCCCATTTTGTTGTACCAATTGAATATTCTCATTTATAATAAGAGAAATGCTACAATGTGCACCCATAAAAAGGTGCACATTGTAAGAAAATTTTACGATTTTTCTGGTGAAAGTTATGAATGTTGAAGTTATGGTGTAAATCCTTAAAGTTAATAATCGTAAAGTTATGTTTTTTGTGATAGAAGTTATACTTTTATGACGAGCAAAAGGCTATACTTTTTGTATAAGATGCATACCACGGTAGCCTTTTCCCAATAATAATTAACAACATTTCTGTGAACCTTAAAAAATGTTTAAAAAAAAAAAAAACTCCCAATTTTAGATTAGGAAACTGTGTTTTGAAGTTTTTTTTTTTTTTTTTTTTTTTTATTTATTTTTTTTTTTTTTAATTATTTGCAAAGAAAGTAAAGTTACATATTTTTGAGGTGTTCACATTTAGAACAAATCACATCTAACAACTTAATTTGCGAATCAGTCAATTTAAGCAGCTCAATCCACATCTGTATCAGTTGCAAATTTTTAACAAGGATAAGAAATGAGAAAGGGGAAATGCTCCGGTGTTCAATGCAACCCTACCACAAAATAACGTACGTTTTCACGAGAATACACAAATTCGTGTAAGTTGGTGGAAATTTATGGCTTACGCGAATTTATATTCAACTTATGTAATTTTGTGGTGGGATTGTATACGGTGTGCATTACACACCAGAGAATTTTCCATGACAAAGAGATGATGATGATCGTACTATTACCTCTGATGAAGGCTTGAGCAGTGTTAACTCTCATCAAAGACCTCGTGCAAAACGAGTGAGAGAGAAAAATCCACGAAACATCCGTCAACAAACCCCTACTCACTCTGCTATTACTCCATCTTCTATCGATCTGTATGTAACATTCTTAAAATTTCCCAAATTCATCTACTTAAAATCAACAACGACTCGAGGCTAAACACATGCACATATATACACAATTCGAGTAGAGATTTGAAGCAAAATTTGCAAACCAGAGAGAGATCAGAGATTGCCGGAGTGGGAGAGTTCAAGATCTTGAGGAAGTTGAGGACGGCTACTTCGATTCTTGCTCGGACCTCAACAGAAGAAATTCAAATTCAAGCATTGATACTCACATATAATATATATATATATCTATATAGAGAGAGTGTTTACCTGAGGAGGAGGAAGAATATCGGCATAGCAGAGGTGCTGATCTGAGAAGAACATCAATGAGGATTTGCTCAGATCTTCCATTATTGTTTAGTTTGTTTTTGTTTGCTGTTACCGTGTGCAGTTCAGAAAGCACTCAACTGACTCATTACTAGTCATTGGCGCCCCCACCAAATTATTTGAACTTCCAAGAGATGATTATCTGTTTAGTTTGATTTTTTAAAATTTATTTTTAGATAATTTATTTTTATAATTTTTTTTAATATTTTCATAATTTTTTTTGTACTTTTTAAATGTACTTAATCAAGATGTATTTAAAACAAATGAAAATTTGAATAAAAATCTCTGTGCATTTTTATTTAAATTTTTGTTTTTTTTTAGTGAATTTTTTTTTTATATATTTTTTATATTTTAGTTTGAATTTTTTATTTTTTAGATGCATCTAATCTTGATATAGCTAAAAAATAAAATAAATAAAAAATTAGTGAAACATCTTTTTCTAACTTTGTGTAGTAGGAGATGTCCAAAATATTTTTTTTTATTAGTAAGGTTCTTCAATAAAATTTCTCTGTGATCATACCAGAGAAACTTCTCTATGTAGGGGCCGAAATTTCTTTGAATAGAATTTTCTTCGTGAAAATATTAAAGGGCCTTAATTACTATGAAAATATTGTATTTTCTTTATCTTAAAAAATTTTAATATCAAGGATTTTAAAAGAAAAATTCCAAAACAAAAATGGCTAAAATATGGAGGGGGGGGGAAATTAGTAAAAACAAACGAAAACTCATTTAAAAATAATTTCTGAAAAATTATATTAAACAAGGATAAATTACAAACATATTCCTTGAGATTTACTTAAATTACAAATTATCTCTCGTGGTTTTAGAAATTACATTATCTCTCCTAAGGTTTCTAATTTCATAACAAATAGGTTCTTTTATTAATAAATCATCAAGTTAATTAACAATTTTTAATAATGTTAAAATTTTATTTCAATTAATAATTCAGATAATTTTATTATTGTATAGGTGAACGGTTAGAAATTTCAATTTTTTAATTAATTCTGTTAAATAAAAAATTCTAATAGGGAGATATTTGTAATTTTTCAAATCACAAAGAATAATTTATATTTTAAACAAATCTCAAGAAGTGTATTTATAATTTACCCATTAAACAAAGTCTTGTTTATTTTTTTAGCTCCATAAAAAAGGGACAGGATTGCCTTGTGTACTTTATATAATTATAGAGTTTTACTTTTTTAGTAGATCTAATATGTAAAATGTCAAATAAATTACAAGAATTTAGCCACGTTATTATCTTAAGTTTGTTATTAAAAAATTGATTAACGAGTTCGATTTTTAAAATATATCTGTCATTATTTAAAAAATAAGTACAATCTAATAATGTCATTATGATTATTCAATCATAATGATATGATTGAACAACAACCGTTAGAATTATTGTGACAAGTTTCTAAGTGGGTTCATCAAGACCCACAGCACAACAGTAATGATACGTATTTCGAAATTTTTAAATTCGAATTTATTTCGAATCTAAAACGATATCGTTTTAAACAGTAGTTTCGTTTTACGAGAGAGTTATTTAATGAAAATTATCTTATTGGTAAAAGAATTTTAATATATCTTACCGATAAGAGAATTCAAAACGATGTTATTTTTGATAATCGAAAGATTCGGGAAACAAAACATTTTCCTACAACACAATCCAACTGACAAGCTAACACAATCCAACTGACAAGCTAGCTGAAGAAAATTTGCATCTCACAAAGAGGGGGGGGGGGAGATAGATATAAATTTGAATAGATAGCAAAAAAATTGAACAGATTTTTTTTTTTTTTTTTTTTGAACAATTACTATTCAGTGTATATTTTTAAAGATAATTTTAAATTAATGGTAAAGTTTATGTATATTAATAATTAAACTCATAATGTTTGCCATGAATTTGTATCTATTTTGCAAAATAATCAGTGTGTTGTAATTACTTTCTTTCATTCTTTCTTCATTTTTAAATGTCATGTTAAAAGCCTTTATATGCTAGAAGCAACATAATAAGAGTTTCTTAAGATTGTTTTAGGCATGGTTTATTTTTTGACTTTTTTTATTTATTTATTATGAAAAGATGTATAAAAAAATAAAAATGTAATGTTACATAAATAAGCCAATAAGTAATTTAGAGTGTCTCTGAGAGGGAAATTTACGATCTGGAGTCGGGCCGAGGTAACGGCCGAGCAGGTTGAGGGCCCAACGGTGCATGGGGCCGAGTTGATCAACTATCCGCCCGGAGATGGGCTGCCAGAACTTGGGCCGGGCAGAGTTTGGACTGAGTGTGTGCCGCCCCGGACCGTACAGAAACTGCTCGGCAAGGCAGTGCCCGGTCGGACCAGGATGCCCGGTCCGAGGATGGTCGAAGCCAGACAGGCCGAGTGACCGGCGCCCGGAAAGGCGTGGTCAGCCGAGGTTGTTGTTTGACCGGCAGGAAGGCCGACCTTAGGAGGAGCCTCGGGCTAGGCCTTGCCGAGATGCCGCCTAGCCCGGTCCTCCTTGGCCTTAGCCATTGAAGTGCTAGGGTATGAAGCACAGCACGGCACAACAACGGATAAAGCAGCTCGGCTGCCGAGCTCCAGCTGTGATGACAGGCAGTTGAGATTATGTGATGATTGGCATGGTTTATGCTGACAGATGGGATAGCGGAGCCACGTGTCAGGAGATGACTGGGAGTGGATATGGGGCGCAGAGGGTATATAAGCATGTCTGCGCCCCCCATACGCGACACACGAACATCTCTGTAAGGAATTCTTACACTCAAACACTCTCTCCCTTCTCTCTCTCCATCCTAAGGTGTGTGCTAACTTGATCGTCGGAGGGTTTTTCCGGCCACACACCGCCGGGTAGCTCACCGTTACTTGCTCGCAGGTGATCGGACATTGACGGAGCTCGGAAGAAAGGACATGGCGAACAACGATGAGTTTCCGTTGTCCGCCATCGACGGAGCCACCCCGGAGTATACCCGAAGGAGAGAGGGACCTCCTGCTGTCCACCCAATGGCTGACTTGGGAACGCCCACTGGCGGACAGTCAGGAGACGCGCGGGACAAGCGCGGACGAAGTCATGGACATTCACGGAGTTCAGACGGTCACCGGCGGAGGGGAGACTCGCACGCCAGGCGACTGGAAAGCAAGTTGAGGGATCAAGATGCTGTCATCCGGCGAATGGCGGCGGAGATGAAAGATCTCAAGCGGCATGTCAAAGGGAAGGGTGTAGTTGGAGTGGGAGACCACAGTGAGCGCACCCCATCCCGCCGTTCAAGCGGTCAGAGTCAGCGACGTACTCAGTCAATATCCATTACCAGGAGTTACCAGGTTGGTGATTCCGACGTGGGTGCAGGGAAGTCTAGCGCCCAAGACAGCACCTACAAACCCTCACGTCCGGAGACGACGTCGAGGTACTCTTACTCCGCTCAGTCAGAGGATTTACGGGCGGTCTTAAAGGAGCGGGCCCGCCGGCGTGAAGCCCAAAGAATACCAACTTTCCAGCGGCTATCTTACGGGGTTCACGCCAGCGACGAGGTCGGAATGCCTCAGCCCCGCGAAGCAGTGCCACTCCTTGAAGATATGGACTTGGCCAGGCTGAGTGCCACTCATTTTTCCCTGGAAATTGAAACAACACCACTTCCGGCAGGCTTCCACCAGCCTAAGTTCACACTTTATGACGGAAAAAACGATCCATACATGCATGTGAGCCACTTCCGACAGGTTATGGCCGGACATAGGCGCAATGACGGACTTATGTGCCTAATCTTCCCGTCAAGTTTGGGCGAGCTGGGCTTAAAGTGGTTCGAGCGGTTGCCGGAAGGGAGCATACAAAGGTGACATCAGCTGGCCGAGGCTTACGTAGTATTAAACCAAACCAACACAACACCAAAAGAAGTAGATCATTTACTTAGTGTCAAGATGGAACCGAGCGACACACTGAAGGTATACAACTCTCGGTATTGGGAGACCTTCAACGAGATCTTGGATTGCCCGGTCAACCTTGCAATCACGCAATACAAGCGTGGTCTCCCGGTCGGACATAGACTGCGGGACTCGCTTACCATGCACCAGCCGACCTCCATGGGCCAACTCATGCAGCGCATCAATGAACACATCCGAGTAGAGGATGACGCGTCCGCTTCTACCGTGAAGACTACTCCGGTAAGGACAGACAAGAAGATAGCAGGCAAAGTGCACGCAGTTGGGCAAGAGTCCAGCCGCTCAAGTGATCGAGCAGAGGAATCAGACCGTGGCACAAACCGTAAAAATCGGGGTAGAGGACGTCGGCACGACCGGGATGACTACGCCCGGGATGATGTTGCAGATGCCAACAGGAGGTTGAAGGCAAGAACTGGCATCACCACGGTCTTCAAGATTCCAATCTATCGCATACTTAGTGAAATCCGAGACGAGGAGTATGTCCGGTTTCCTGCTAAGTTGGGTGATGGACAAAAGGGCTATAATCCGCGGTATCGTTGTACGTTCCACCGAGAGAGAGGCCACCGGACTGAGGACTGTCTGCCTTTGAGGCAACACTTAGAAGAGCTGGTCGCTGCCGGGCATCTAGACCTTTACATTGATGGCGGCGTGAAGCCGAATCAGGCTCCGGTCGATCCCTGGGGACAGGATGACCGAGACGCACCACCGCAAGGAGTTATTAATGTCATCCACGGCATCGTGGAATCGGAGCGTGTCTACGAACTCCGGGGCATGATAAAAAAGGCAGAGCATATGCGGGAAGTTTTGTTGGTACAGCCCGCCATCAAAAGGGGGAAGACAGAAGAAAAAGACGTGATTAGTTTCACCTCAAGGGATCTAGAACGTATTCAGACGCCGCACAACGATGCCCTAGTAGTAACACTACGCGTCAAGGACTTCGATGTTAAGTGAATCTTGATCGATCAGGGAAGCTCGGTCGAGATCATGTATTATGATGCGTTCAAGCAGCTTAAACTCCGGGAGACAGACTTGGCTCCGGCAACTTCGCCACTGGTTGGATTCAACTCTCAACTGGAGTGGCCTTTGGGAAAGATTATCCTGCCGGTCAAAGCGGGATCCGTGGTCAAACAAGTTGAGTTTTGGGTGCTACAAGTGCCTTCGACGTACAACC